TAACCGCTGAAGACCGTGCGTTGAGACTTCGTCCTGACTTGCCAAGAAAAGAGAAGGCGAGGGTAGGCAGCGCGACACCACAGAAAGGGACTGAACCACTACACGCGAATTCTGTTCAGTTCTGAAAAGGAGCAAGGACAGATTTAAAATTGGAATAGGATAAAAAAGAAACAAGATGAGGTGTAAAAGTGAAATTCTGCGATGCGCACAATTAACTTCGTCCCTGTCAAGCAAAAATAGGGCCTACCAAGGTTACTGCGGTCTCTCCTTTTGACACTTGATATGTATTGAAGCACTAAACCAATAACACGAAAGAAGTTTGACCTTGATAATACTGTCTTTATTCTTCGACTGTTTAAACACGTTTTCAGTAAATCGCAAATTACGTCGAAAGATATAAAGATTATGAAGGGTGTGGAAGGAAGCGGTCGTGGCCTAATTCGAGGCAATGTGACATTTTCCTCGATGAACTGAGAAAAGTTACGAAAAGCTCAATCGAAACAGATCTGGATCTGCGGATACCTGTATATGAACCACGGATAGCACCCACTCTATCGTGAAAGTCAGTAGTTTTCGTATACACGTGTATAGAACCAGGATAGTTATCCGTGCCTATAAGCCTACGCTCATTGACACCACCAGGCACAACCTGGATTTCCCTGGCCAATTCTCATTCCATAATATTGTGACGTGTATGAGGTGTATATAGACGGGATTTAGATTGGTAATCGAATTGATCAGACTCTTGTACAACTCGTTACTACACTTTATATATCACTATCACACACTAGCGTTCTCAGTCTGTTACAGTCGCCACTAGCCGTTGCTTGATAGCGGCTTCCAACGGCGGACGTTCCTTCCTCTGGGTTCCCGAACTCTCCCCGGTCTCAGCTACCAACTTCTCACAGCAAGAGCTCACAAAAAAAACTGAACTACAACAGTCCTCTAACTCTCTGACTTACTAACCAACTGCTGTTTGAGTGACGCCTCATTAATTTGTCCTGCTTATAACATCTTGTTACGGACCGCGTAGAAAGCATAGCTTCCCATTACTGTTGTATCCAATTCTTTCCATGGAAACATGCTTGTTTTAAGAGTAACTTAAGAGAGACTTAGTAACGGTTGTTGCATATGTGCTTCTTTCGCGGTCGTTGCCTAGCAACAAGTATACCTACCTACCTACCCACCTGCCACTCGGCGCTACAGCCCTGGGTGAGCCTTGGCCTCCTCTACAACCAGTCTCCACTGCTCTCTATTAGCAACAAGTATATACACCACAATATGCTCTATATTTCTAATATAAAATCCATGGCTGATGCAATGAGGCATGTTTGACTCCAGTACCAATGGCCTTAGTCTCACTTCACCCTAACAATAAGGTATATTTGCAAATGAAAAATCGCACCCATCCATTAAGGAATTGAGTAATTAAATAATTAACTAAAGACATATACAGATAGGGCAGTGACATAATAAGCCTGTTTTTTCGCTTTCGTAAGAGAAGAAAGTAGCCGAGAAACTGTGAGAAACAGAATCTCAAGGAAGTGGATCAGGTTTAAAAACGAATGAAAACATTCTACAAACAATCGCGCTTTGACTTCCTGCGTCGTCACTTTTTTTCAAGCCGCCATCCTCTCCGTGCTAAACTTCACGTTGAGTCTACACATGGATCTCCTTACTAACTGAAGCAGTTTCTGATATTCACGCGTAGGATTTATGGCTACTAGCTGCACGAGCTCGAAGCAGATTCCATCTAAACAAATTTACAGACTTTTATATAACTCAAAGGTTTCGTAAGGAATTGCCACTCTACGCTCTACTCAGGGAGAACATCTGGTCTATATCCTCGCAGGCCGTTCCTTTAATATCCATCTGAGCTTCTCTTTCAGCTACGCTTAAGCTAGGCCGCGCCATAGCTCAGGCGGTTAGTCGCTGGCTTCTCGCCGCGGCGGCCCGAGTCTGGTCAAGTGGGATTTGTGGTGGACAAAGTGGCGCTGGGGCAGGTTTTCTCCGAGTACTTCGGTTTCCCCTGCCAATCTTCATTCCACCAATTGCTCCACAATCACCCTCACCCCACTAGCAATACAAAAAAATACGCTTAAGCTACTGAGTAGTTTACGCCACTCAGGTTCCCTGATGAAATGTGTATATTCTCACCTTCCCCAAGAGTGGTACTAGTCGTGTTTGCGATCACGAGATGAATTACTGTATATATTCCCTTTTTAAAGAAATGTTCTTTAAGGAGTATGCGGCATATAGGCCCGTACATACACGGTCACATTCTTTTTCCCAAAGGTAGCCATTAAGTGATCATCGCATTGAAAATATTGTCACGTGTAGGGGTGACTATAGACGGGTTTTTATATTGGATGACTGGATTTATTGACACCATATTCACACATCTCGAGACTACGGGCATTACAGCGCTACCGCAAATTTACACACACTACAGTTCACCTTAACACACGCACTAGAGTTCTTAGTCTTCACTAGTCGTATCGTGGCAACGGATTTAGAACAGTCTCAATGTCACTTAAAATTACACATGAAGTCTTCTTTGCACCGCCTAAATTCTTTCTTGCCACTTACTCTCAATTACTCTCCAGAACTCACCACATTTCTTCACTACAACTCTCTCAAATGAACTCTACAACCGAACTCTCTCAACTTCTGTCAACAACTAACTCAAATGCTGCTACTGCCAGCTTCGGAACTCTTCTTTATAACCACTTTGAGAGGACAACGCAGAAAACACAGTATCTATTGTTAATGAGGCGTGTTTACTGATCTGTTGCCTAGTAATGGGCTTCTATTGTCGCGCGTTTGAATCCGCGGGCATGTGCTTACCGAGACGTTGCTAGAAATGGGTATACACATCACAATATGAAACCAGAATTTCTTGACATAATTTGGATCTCTTCGATGGTTACTCAAAACCCACGTAGGAATGACATTAGAATTTCAGGTTTTCTGGTTTCCATTATTATTTCCTATTCTTACATACTAACTAATTAAATAATTAATTAACTAGCTATCCAACATCTAACCAACTCCATGGAGCAGAATTATTCTGGAGAAGCTAATGGTCGTTCGGCTCGCCAAGAAGTTTCACTCACAACTTTCAGAGCGAGGTCATACCAAGGAAACTGGCAACCGCAACGCAACCGCAATTTCCGAGATTTTTATCAGACTGAGTTGAACACATGTTACTGAATGGAGCAGCGGAAATTGAGGAAACGGCAATGCAGCTGCTCCATTCAGTAACATGTGTTTAGCTGAGGCTGATAAAAAATCTCGGAAATTGCGGTTGCGTTGCGGTTGCCAGTTTCATTGGCGTGCCCTACCCCTTATACAACCTGAAGGTTCACTGCTGTTTCCGAAACAACGGGCGGCTGGAGCCTATAAAAAGCCAGACGAATTCAGCGCATATTATCATATCGTATTTAAGAATCATTTTAATATTATCATCCTTATCAACGCCCGGTTCTCAATGATGATCTTATTCTCATAAGGTTTTCCTATTAAACGTGTAATTGGAACGCTCATGCGTGCTATATGACTAGTCCTCGATTTTAACGCCCTAACATTATCTGTTGGAGACCTGTAAACTCCTCATTAGGCATATTTCAGCAGTCTCCTAATTACAAGTAATTTCTTAACACTGTTCCAAATACGCCCATCCTGTGTTCTTCCTGTGAAGTGAATGAGCAAGTTTCACCCCGATACAAGAAATATTAACATCTTCTGTGGTGGTGTGAGTCTCGGGGCTCTTGAAATGGTTAGTGTCGTTGTGTGCGTCAATTATTACGAGAATTTTGGAGACTTTATTTTCACTTGCATTATCAAATTCAAGAGCCGTACAAGGGGGAAACTGATGCCGCTAAGCGATGTCTTGTATTTACCGTGAGAAGAGTTAAAATAATATGGTAGAAATATCGGTTATAGCGGTGCTATACACGATTTGAAGTCCTCGTAGCGGTGATTAAGAAGAGTAATATCTTCTGGGATATGTCATGTATCCCATTGAAAATCAACCGACGTTTCGGAGGAACACATCGTCTCAATTTTCAGGGTCGAAGAGTAGGCCGTGTAAGAAACAAACATGAAAACAGCAAGGCTTGCCATTTAGTTTCATCTTTATTTCTTACTCGGCTTACTTTCGACCTTGAAGATTGAGGCGGCATGATCTTCCGAAACGTCGGTTGACTTTCATCGCACGACACAGCGTTATATTCCGAAAGGCAGGACGTTTTTACAATGATACTGCTTACAAAACAATACATGTCGGTGTTAACGACACTTTGGTCACAGCACGCAGCACAGTATGACGTGTAAGCGTATGTTAGGCCTGCGGAGTAACGGCACTGCTGACAGGTGAATAACGACAACCTTCCGTTGAACGGGGTGTGCTACAGCTTCGTGACACACGTGACCTTTAACGGGCCATTCCATTCAACGAAGTTGTTCCTCAGTTTTTCAGCGAATTCTGTCGTAATTAGCACTTCCCACGCATCCTCAGCTGCATATGCGTGCTCTTCTTCCCCAACATCTGTGACGTATACAATGAAGGGGAAGACCAGCTGTAAATATACGTGAGGGTAGGATAACCTGAGTAGCCACATATAACTAATCGTCAACTCTTAATACGAATAATTTTAATTCCCTTTCCAATTATCTGGTTTTATTTTCCTCTTTTGTTTCTATTGTTACTGTTCTTACATCGCACGCAAGTCCGAAATGTTGTTAAGGTCACTAAGTGATTGGCTAGTGGAGGGGTTACCCCCTTGAAAGTAACCAATCACGCTGCATCTTGAAGGCGTGTCCATATGATCAGGAATGACGCGTCGCGGCGGGAAAAGTTGGTTCTAGGGCGGCGCGGGGTGAGTGTAAGGTTACGAGGAGTGAGTGTCGTAACCACATCTCAGAACACGGGATCAGAAAGGAAGGGGTCAGAGAGGTGGAGGGTGGTGAGTGGCCAGTCGCGGGGGGAGAGGGAATAACGAAAATACCGCGCAAGTATTTAAAAGCTTGTGCAGAGTGTAAACGGTACCTGCAACACTTGGCACTTTCAGCCCAGAAACAGCTGTGCGCCTCAGACGGACTTGGGAAGAAATCCATCTGACTGCAGGGAAGTACCTCAAACTTTCTTCTTCTTCTTCGTCTCTCCAGTCAGTCAAGTCAGTGGTGGTGCAACAGCGTTTTCGGGACAATACAACTCTCGGTACACGCGCTATTTTTCTAACGGAATTGTGAGGACACCCGCCGCGTATTGGTACAGGAAGAAAACCCTCTCAGGCTGGAGTTCTCAGCGTTCGGAGTTTTCAGCCATAGCTGCAACTTACCCCGGCCCTCTCCACAACCCCCAAGACACAACACAATGATGGCTGTCGCTGCTGCCCAAAAGAATCGCGAAATGTTCGCCATCAAGAAATCGTACAGCATTGAGGTAAGTCATTATCACAAATTTAAAGCTATAGGAGTTAAAAGTAAAAAGCAAATCACTTGGCCACCAACAACACATTTGTGTCATTTCTTTCTCGGAAACAACACGCAGTTCTTTTTAATTTTCTCTGTATTTCTTTCCCAGAATTAAGATTGTCAGTTTTCTCCTTCATGAAAATGATTTCGTGTTCATAAACATAGCAGATAGATTAATTCATTACAAGACGTGTTTACGAGTAGGTTCCACAGCCGAGTCGTTTAGTGGGAAATGGGAACATGTCCATGTTCTCTGAATCGATTATACGTGACACAGTTATTAACACTGACTTATACGCGTATCACAGAAATTTCACCAAATTAGCTAGGAGACTTTAACGCATCGGACATGTACCAGACTCGAGCACAGTAACCTGCAGTAAAAAGGGGCCGTAATGTTCAGAACCGCTTCAACATCACGCAGACTGTAGCCTGTTGTTCAGTTCTCACTTCAATGAGTTTCAAAACTCTTGTAAATACGGGCCGCGTTTTTAAGCATATCCTACAGGTTAGGCATGAGAAGTACGGCCGGCAGTAGCGGGACAATTGTTTCAACTGCTCTGTGGAAAAGAGGAAGTGTGACGCACTTTAACTAAGGCCTTGATATAACACCTAAATACTTGTCTCAGTTAATGGTCTCGAACAAATCCTCTGTGTATTGTGTTCAGAACTCAGGTCTAAAATAACGTACAATACTTTTTAGTGATATAAGTCACTTTAGCAGAGAGACTGACATGGTAATATTATCCTATCTTGTCAATGATATAAAATAATGGTCATTATTTGCATCAGCACCATAGAGCGTTGCAGTCAACTTATCAAAGTGCAATTTGTGAGCAATAACACATGTTTATCGCGCTTCTCATGTAATGTACGTCGAATGCTGTCAGCGGTCGCAATACGTAAGCAGGCAAACGCTAATGCAGATGCAAGGCTGCTCAGTACCTCCAGCTACTGTCGGAACAAACACAATAGTTCTGTTTCAGCTGCTTGGCAAGTTACTGTGACTTCCTTTTCTAAGAATAGAGAAAACTGGGTTACTCTTCTTGTCGAAAAAGAGACAATAGCTCTTAGAAATTTAGAGCTGGGTGCATGGCTGATGTCTTAATGCCAGTGGGAATTAAATAAATCATTTTATTTAATCATTGTGATTCATTAGTGTGTGGAGAACGCCAATATTCTGTGCACTTAATTCCTAATGTAAGAATAGTTGAAAGTATTTCAAACTTCCAATAGTTATTTCGGCAAGAATAATCGTCTGCCCCTTTATTTGGCACACAGCAATATTTTCTTTGCATATGTTTTTTAGGAAGTGGCACAAAGCAACCTTGTAAACAAATGTTTTATATCACCACCATACATTAAATAAAATTATTATAAGCCTATATAAAATGGCACGGCCAAATATTTTACAATGAATTCACTGTGTCATATTTCCAGAATATTTTATTAATTAATGTGTAAAATTATCACATAATTATTGTGAGCCAATTGTCTAGAAAATGTGGGAGCCTCAACGTCTCACAACTACATGGGCCTCCAAGGTCTGTTACAGAGATAGCTTCACATTTGCATTAGTAAAAAGAAAAAACAAACATTTAATTACTTCAAGGGACTGAAAAGAAATAATTCAATAATGTGATAATTTATATGGCACTCTAATCTATTCTTACATTTTCGTTAAGAACTGAGAAAATGAAACGCGGTAGCGCAGTTGGTTGAGGCACTATGCTACAAGCCGGAAGGTCGCGGGTTTGAGTCCCGATTAGGTGGATTTTTTTTTTCAAATTACCTAATCCTTCCAGCCGCACTATGGCCCTGGGGTCGACTCAGCCTCTAACAGAAATGAGTACCAGGAACATTTTTAGGGGTAAAGGCGGCCGGCGCGTAAGGCTGACAACCTTACAGTCATCTATGAGCCGATTGTCTAGAAAATGTGGGAACCTGAACATCTCACGACCCTATGGGCCTCCACGGTCTGTTACAGGGATGCCTTTACTTTATTTTTTACTTAATAAGAAAATGAAAAAAGCAAGATTCCACGAAGTCGAGGTAACAGTGCAAACTGTGCCGTCATACCCAGCGATGCAGACGGATACAAGACTCAGTGTCGCCATGACCGTTCCCTCGCTAGCAATTGTTCCTACGTGCAGCGTAAGAGGGAAAGTTGTGTACAGTCTACAGAACCATTACCACTGGGTATTCACATACAGTGAGAGCTAACGCCAACGTTCAGGACGTCGCTGTGACGAGGTTAAGCTAGAAGCACATAAACTTTTCAATTTTATCGTTCCTCCTGAAGAATCACTCTAACGCATATCTTGTATTTTAAATCTGTCTTCTCAAACATTAACATTCCTGTATTCTGATTAAAAGTAGATTTTCTAACAGCATAATTATAAGCGAGAAATCTACTACAATGACCCACAAAACTTTAAAACACGCATACTAAACTGATATTGTATAAAATATAATTACGTAATATACTTTTAAATGTGTACAAGAGAGAAGTGTCTTAGGTTGAAACCCTGTCCTCTCCTCATGGGGAGAACAAATGAAGATTCCAAATTCCTGTGAGAAGGTTAACAGAGTTACTACTCGTTATAACATAGCATGGAACAAGGTATCTTTTTAGACAAATGGAAATTCATTCCTGCTTCTGGAAGCTAATTCGCTTACACTGCAGTTGTTGAGAGCTATCGCAAATATTTGCAAATATATATATATATATATATCCCACTAACGCATCTAGACTGTGTCAGTTTTGTAGTATATCTGCAAATCGCGATTCAAGAATAGCTATGTATTTATCATAATAACAAATCAAGTATGCATCAGTTCAATAGAATTTCCTTTTATCTTAGAAGGCTATTGTTGCGCCATCGAGGTTCAGAACCCTTGTATTAAGAACACGCCACAGAAATGGAGGGGCACTTACAGAAATAAACAGCGTATCCTATTTAAAATAGCCTTGGATTCCGCAGATGGCGTGTTACCAACACTTGTGTTATTCTGGACGTAACAGAAGGTAACCGTTCACTTGTGTAGGAAAAAAGATAACAACAATAAAATTACGAAATTTATTACAACTTAAGAGAAGATAGCGGCATAATGGGACAACGTAATGAAGACATCAAGCTCGTGCCATGTAATGAGGTTAACGTGGCGATAATCAGCTAAAAAGGGCATATATTAAGTTGCGAATACGTGCCTAAATGTGCAAAAATGGGCAACGTTTTCGTTACTAACCATAAGTACCGAGAAAAACGTGTACTTTCAAAGCAATTATTGTTTATGTGAGGCGTGTAGCACATATGGGAGAGAAAACATGCATAAAAAGTTTTTGTTGGAAAACTGAAAGGGACGAGGTCACTTAGGAGACCTAGGAATAGACGGCAGAATAACAATAATAACTTCGAAAAAGGAGCACGAGAATGTGAATTTGATTCACCTGGGTCAGAGTTGGGGCTCTAGTCAGCACTGTAATGAGTGGTCACATTCCATAAAAGGCGGACAATTTGACCTGCTAAACGACTGTAAGATTATCAAGAAGCACTCTTCTCTGTGAAGTTTGTCGCATTATAGCTCTAGGAAGGAAAATCTGAACTTCACTTAAGCAATTACGGAGATACAAATAATCATATTCCTTTAAAACTACAGTTCGTTGTTTCAGACTCAAGGGTGTGACAGTAAAAGTGACATATCTTCTTTCACTGGAACTGAAAGTTGAGAGGTAAGAGTAAATATATATAGGAGATTTAGAGGTATTGTTCCATTATTCTTGACCTCGGCAACAAACGGAAACTGCATGGGCCCCACAGCCGGTTTGGACGCTGCAGAACAGAGAAAAGTCTCTTGCTCCTACCGGGAATCGAACCTCAGCCGTCCGGCCCTTCGCTATACCGACTGAGTTATACGGGCTCCTGAAAGCTGTAAGGTGAATTAAAATAAATTCATGTAGCCTAAGAGTCCAGCATTCATGTACAAATCCGTTTCAACATCTGCCAGAGTCCTGCCTGAGGTTGCTGAGGGTTTTTCTCAGTCCCTCCAGACGAAGAGACAATTCGTTATCATCCCCAACGTCATTTGCCGTTACGTAACGTCTCAAAACATTTGTGACAGTTTGATTCATAACTCTGTACAGCTCAGATATACGGACAATCTGCAATAGATTCTGGTGTATCATAACAATTCTGCGCCTTGTAACCACTCATTTATTTGTTTCGAGCCACGAGAAGGAAGGTAGCAAAGGGTGGGAGCATTGCACATAAGAGCTTCTTCCTGTCTGTAAACAGCTGTGACTTACAGAAACACTCAAGGCAGGGGGTTCCGTGTGACGAGCTTAGAAAGTGACACAGTTACGAGAGCGCTTGTAATGTCTGCCCGGTACGCAGCCTCTGTAAACTTTCGCGTTGTTTTTGTTTTTGTAGGTTTATTTAACAACGGAGGTTATAAAGCATCCAATAAAAATGATATGCAAGTATCCGGTAAGAACTTCGAAGAAAGGAGGGGTAGTCTATTTTAAGGCACTAAATACAAGCCACTTCCGGATGAACTAAATGAAAATAAATCGCCGATATTCAGATTAGGTATCTTGTGATTATTGAGGCCGGTCACGATACCTAAGGCATGTACTGTCTTTGCTCGCTCGGAAGCCAGGATCGTGGGTTCGAATCCCACACAAGGCATGGATATTTGGTATGTGTATGTGTTTTTCATGCCGGTCACGATAGCCGAGCGGTCTAAGGCATGCACTGTCTTCGCTCGCTCGGAAGCCGGGATCGTGGGTTCGAATCCCACTCAGGGCATGGATGTTTAGTTTGTGTGTGTGCGTTTTTCTGTGTTTGTGTACAGGTAGAGGCCTTGCGACGAGCTGATCACCCGCCCAAGGAGTCCTACCGTATGTGTAATATCTAAAAAAACGGAAGTGAACGGAGAAGTTCATGGAGGTAGGCCTAGGCCCACTGG